ATTTAGGGTTCTCGATAGTTTTTGCATAAGCGTTTATATTATATGTGTACATGCTATTGCTGCATGTATTGTTAAGTCTTTGATGCGAGGTTCACATGTCCAATTCGACACCCCCATCGGATTAATGCACTAATTCACATTCCATCCTAGTAAACATGTTTAGACATGAAGATTAGGACATTTTGCTTTGAAATTATACTTACTTTTATCTGCGTATGGAAATTGAAAGTGACAAATGTATTTTTATGTACAATCCCTTTCTGCTTAGTCACTACAAATGAAAAAGATGCAGCTCCATTTGTCGTTGATTGAGCAATACACAAGAAAAAACAATCCGCCAAAATTTCACAATTGCCGATCGCATTTGTATTTTTATTTAATTTAAATATGAAAAAAATCTTTATCTCCTGCCGAAACGCGGCATATAGTCAGACTACTTTATCTCAGCCGGCCACACACAAATTCGAAGTTCAAACAGTTAAACCCATATATAGGAATCGTCATTTTACTCCTGTAACTCAAAATTAGTTCAACTTTGTTATTTGGAATTCGATTTTGATTCCCCTCTACCCCCATAAAACTCAAACTTTTTCCAGCTTTATTTTTAGCCACGCTTTCTGGAACTGATTTTAATCTTACTTTATCCTATGTAAATAAAAAATTGTCATTTTACTCTTGAAACTCAAAATTCTCTCAACTTTGCAACCTGAAATTCGATTTTGATTCCCCTCTATCCCATAAAACTCAAAGTTCACTCCACGTTGTCTTAATTCTATTAACCCCCTTATGTGGGTTTGATTTGGGTACTAGGCTAATAAGTTTTTTTTTTTTTTTTTATCTCTGCAACTCAATCATAGCAAACCCCAAAAAAAAAAAAAAAAAAAAATTTCAAATTCTTAATTTATTCTCTAAACTTAATATTTTCTGATTGTTGATGTTAACGGATAGTGGAGATTTAACATCAAATACATTAGCACATGTAGCTTACTCTTATTGGGTGGTGTACCTTACATCTGTTCTCGGAGAGACGTTTAGAGTTTGGTATTCTATTCAAAAAATTTCATCATTCCTTAAATCATTTTTTAAGAACATTTCTTGAAATTTTTTTTAAGACTAAAAAAATTATTTGGTAAGAGATTTAAAAATTTTAAATCTTAAAACTTAAATAAAGAAATTCAAAGAGAGGGAGTCGCAAGAGAGGGAGGAAGATGATAGGCGAGGAAAGAAAGTAACAGATGACTAAAGGAAAGAGAGAGAGAGAGAGGATTGGAAGAGATAGAGAGGAAGGGGAGAAAGTAAAGATTTTTTAATGTACCTGGAACACGGAATAGTACACCATGTCTTTGTACAAGTGATGAGATTCTTGTGTTAAAATATTAATAACATGAAAAATAAATTTTCCCACAATTTATATAACAACACATGGTGTAGCACTTGTATTACGGGCACAAGAAAAAAGTTTCTCAAGACAAGAGAAAGAAGAGAGCGAATTAGAGGAGAGACAAAGACAACAACAACAACAAAGCATTTTGCCACTAAGTGGGGTCAGTTATATGAATTGTAGAACGCTATTGCGCTTGATTATGTGTCACTTTTTCCGTTAGATCCACGTATTCTAAGTCTTTTCTTAGAGCCTCTTCCAAAGTCTTCCTAGGTCTTCCTCTACTCCTTCGTCCCTGAACCTTTGTCCCATAATCGCATCTTCTAACTAGAGAGTCAGTAGGCATTCGTTTCACATGTCCAAACCACCGTAACCGATTTTCTCTCATCTTTCCTTCAATTTCGATTACTCTTACTTTACCTCGGATATGCTCATTCCTAATCTTATCCTTTCTCGTGTGCCCACACATCCAACAAAGCATTCTTATCTTCTCTATCCCTACTTTATGTACGTGTTGATACTTCCCTACCCAACATTTCGTGCCATAAAACATTGCTGGCCTTATTGCCATCCTATAAAATTTTTCCTTAAGGTTTAGTGGCATACGACGGTCACACAACACCCTGGATGCACTCTTCCACTTCCTTCATTCAACTTGTATTCCACAGGTCTTCATCCAACTCTCCATTTTTTTGCAAGATAGATCCTAGGTAACGAAAGCGGTTGCTCTTTGGCACCTCATAATCTCCAATCCTCACCCCTAACTCATTTGAGCCTTCATTTGCACTGAACTTACACTCCATATACTCTGTCTTTCACCGACTTAAGCAAAGACCTTTAGATTCCAACACTTCTCTCCAAAGGTTAAGCTTCACATTTACTCCTTCTTGAGTTTCATCTATCAAAATTAAAATTTAAAAAAAAAAAAAAAGGAGGAGGAGATAGAAAGAAGAAAAAAGAGGAAGAGAGAGATTTGGGTGAAAGGGGAGGAGAGAGAGAGAGAGATAGAGAGAGAGAGAGAAGAAATGAATGAGCTTTAAATTTAAAAACCCTAAAAACTCACTTTTTGTGTTTTTAGAGAGATGCTATATATTTTAGTTAGTCTTGAATTTAGTTTTTGAAAATATTTCTACCAAACAAGATTTTAAGGCATAAAACTTGAAAATTGTTTTTGAGTTTAAAAAGTTGAATTCTAGTAGAGTACCAAAAATCAGCCCTTAAATTTCAGGGAGATTTCACAAATCAAAATGAAACGAATTTTGAGTTTCAGAGAGTTAAGTGGTGACCTTTGAGTTACAAAGTGTAAAGTGCGACCAAAATCGAGTTTCAGGAGGCGTCGCTAAAAATAAGCCTTTTATTTTTCTTTAGACTTTAGCTTTAGTTGTAGGAAATCAACACTCTTTCCTTTTTTTTCCTACCCAAATTGTGAGACCAATGCATGTCCAATGCATGTCCAACCTCCACAACACAAACTTATAAGTCTGAGAAAGATCAAAGCCATCATCAACAATTTGTACGTCTTTCTGTCGAAATTATTTATGCATGTCTTACATTAGACTATCTCCAATGGTGGGCTAAAACTTAAAATTTCCCTTCCCCCCCCCCCCTCCCAACAAAAAAAACTCCACTCCAACCCATGACCTAAAATAAACCTAAAACCCAAATGGGGGTCAAATTCCGGCCCAATTTTAGGCCACAAAGCAAAATGGACCTCACCAACTGAGACTGAAACCAGGACTGTGAAGCCCACTTCCCAAATCCTACACGCCTATGCGTTGCACGCGCTAGGCTTTGCCGAAATATGGACGAGCCCACGTGGGGGTGTTCCCCCGATTGTCAAACCATCAAGTAGCCCAACGACTACGTTTAAATGGGCTGTTGGTTAATCCAACGGTCTAGGTTCAAATTATTATTTTTTTAGTTTTATATTTATATATTTATTGAATCCAACGGCTTAGATCGAATGTAATCAAATCTAACGGTAAAAAAAAGAGAAGATCTAACGGTCCAAATTTAAATCCAACGGCTAAAATAATTAAAAAAAGATTATTTAACTTAAAATTCAACAGAAAACTCTATAAATACCTATGTATTTGTTCAAACATCCACACAAAACTCACTTTTCTCCTACAATTCTTCCAATTTTTCTTTCTACCATTTCTTCTCATTTCCAAATTTTTCAAGATGGCAAAAGAGCATGTTAGAGGTCGTAATTGGACTTTTGACGAAGATATTGTTTTATGTTTGGCATGAATTTCTGTTAGTGAAGATGGTGCCGTCGGCACGAATCAAAATAGAAAGGTTTTGTAGGGTAAAATCATTGATAATTTCCATGAAGACTCAAACGCCGATCGAAGGGAAGTTGGTGGTGTTTATGATCGGTGGAAGATTATCAACAAAGTGTGCACTTCGTGGAAGGGAAGCTTGGAAAGAGCCACGGTTGACATGCCTAGTGGAAGGGGCGCCTCAAAAATTATGAGTTTCTTTGTTGATATTTTAGTTGTCATGTACATAATAGTATTTTGCAACTAATTGTTTTTATGTATTTGTTGCATAGCTAGGGTGACAAAACAATGACAATTTACAAGACAAGAACTACACCAAAAAATCAAGCTTTTAAGTTGCATCATGCTTGGAACATCCTCAATGATTGTCCGAGGTGGGGAACCGATGCGAACCGACAATGTGGAAGATTATTTCATAGTGAAGCCCCACCCCTAAATGATGTCAATGAAGGTGTGAATTTTGCCGATAATGAAGGTGTCGAACAAATGACCCCAACTTCTTCTTTTGCAAGGCCCCTGGGTAGAGATAAGCAAAAGGAAGCAAAGAGAAAAAGGAAGTCCAAGATCCGATACGTGCACAATTTGCTAGCAAAATGGTAAGATTGAATGAAAACCATATCTCTCAGCAAGAAGAATCAGCCCAAATGCGTTTGGCCATGAAGGAAGAAGGGGATAGGGAGCAAGAAAGTTTTGAAGTTAATTTGATGATGGAGGACCTCGACAAATACACTTCAGAGAGGAAGAAATACTTATGTGGTAAGCAAAAGGACATTTTACGAAAGAATGCCACAAGGAGTATATTTCAAGATGATGATTCATCTCAAGATTATCACCCAAGTTCATCACCAAGTCAAGATGGTGGATTTCATTATTAAGTTTATGTAGTTTATGAGTTTTTGATTGTATTAAGTTTATGTGGTTTATTAATTGTCATTTGTATTAAGTTTATGGGGTTTATTAAATGTCGTTTGTATTAAGTTTATGTGGTTTATTATGATTTTCATGTATTGATTTAGTGATTTTTCAAAATTTAGGATAATCTACATAATTTTTTTTTTAAAAAAAGTTAATTTAAAAAAAATTTAGCCTTAGTAGAAAAGCTGTTTCTAGGCTAAAACCTAAATTTTCTAGGCTAAATATTTTTAGGTTTTAGGTCACCATTGAAGATGGTCTTATGGTTTCAAAACCTGCAGTAGTGCGGGCGATTTTTCAAGTTGATTCTAAAATCTAAAGTCAACTTATTCTCCGCGGGCCTCGTGATTAAACTTGAGGCATGCATGACAATGCAAATCACACCAGCATGATGGTGATCTCTTATCACCGCTACGAACACCTCACCAGAGAATTATGGAGCCATATATGTAAAAAGTAAAGCAGGAAAACAACACACAAAGAAATGAAGGAAGAGAAGACGTAGGGAGAGCTATGTACAATTGTTGCAGGACAATGAAATGTAAATCCTAGTCAATCAATTGCTGATTTCTGCCAACAAGGACCATTACGTCCAGTCGCGGCCTTTTAAATCAGCAGCAGTGAGGGTAACCTGCACGTTTTAAACAAAGGTTGCATAAGAGGTACAAATAATATTGGAAGCGATAATTTCCAAGAAAATGACTGCATCGTGCATCACCTTTGGACCTTTGAAGTTCAATCCAATGGCAATTTAGTTTAATTTCTTCTTCCATGGCTACAGTCATATCCATTTCTCTGAATATGCACACTGAAAAAAAACAAAATTATGATGCGCAATAACCCTTTAATTTTATTGATTCTCTAAACTACACATCTTAAAAACTAAGAGCACCTGTTTGGTTTTCAACTTGAATCTAATTTTTTTTAACTCAAAAACAGTTTTTGAGTCCCAAGCCTAAATTCTTGTTCGTAGTACTATTTTGAAAAACTGAATTCAAAACTAAAACCCACTCTTATCCTCTCTCTCTCTCCAGATCTTCTTTTCTTCATCCTCTCTCCCCTCTCTCTCTCTCTCTCTCTCTCTCTCTCTCTCTCCCCTCTCTCTCCCCTCTCCCTTATCTCTTTCTCTCTCTATCTCCTTTCTTCCGCTCTCTGCCCTATCTCTTCCGGTCTCAATCTCGATCTCCCTCCTTCGGCTCCAACAAGGAGTTGCTGGCAAAGAGCTATTTTTTTTTTGAAAATAAAATTGCTAAGACAAAAACAATTTTGTGTCATACCAAACAAGTTTTTGAGTTTTATAAAAATATTGAAAACTATTGAGTAGGGTACCAAGCGGGCCCTAAAGCTTTTAGCTGCCCAATGAACTACTCATGCAGAAAAGGGAGGGACAAATAAATTGCAAACCAGAAAATAATCACACAACTTTACACCCCAAAACATTGCTAAATATGCCAGAAGAGAAAGAGAAATTACTTTAATTCACCAACCTGGCATCACAATATTATAAACATGTCGCTTTGTTGATAAGATCCAGATGCATAGCAGGGCGTCATCCTCGTTTCTCTAGACAGAATTAATGTTTGGAATGTAACCTTCAATCTTCAGATCCTCATATAGTAATTTAATTACATCGAGAATCTCTGTTGAGCCTTCACCCGAGTGAAACTCATGAAGTTGATCCTCATTCCCAATCCAGCTACAACCAGGAGTCTTACTGACACCTCTTTGTCTCATCAACATTCTCATCCTAGCTGAATCATCCCACATTTCTAAATTTGCATATATCTTTGATGAGATAACATAGTTTCCAGAATTTGCAGGCTCTAATTCAAGAAGCAACTGCAACACCTGCTCGGAGACATCTACATTTTTACACTTCCTACAGGCACCAAGCAACGCCCCCAGTACAACTTGATCTGGTTTTTCAGGCATTTTCTGAATGAAGTCCCAAACTTCATGTACAAGTCCTGCACGCGACAACAGGTCAACCATGCAAGAGTAATGCTCTATTTTTGGAACAAGCCCAAATGACGAGCTCATCAAATTAAACAACTGACGACCCTTGTCGACTAATCCAGCATGAACACATGCAGAAAGTAATCCTACAAATGTGATGTCATTTGGCCGAACAGATGCACAACCTTCTGTCATGCGCTTGAATAGGGATATTGCTTCATGTGCTCTCCCATGGAAAGCAAGGGCAGATATCATGGCATTCCAAGAAACCTCATTTTTCTGGGGCATGTCTTCAAAAACTCTTAGAGCAGTGGCTAAGCTCCCACACTTAGCATACATGTCAATCAATGCAGTACCAACGTAAATGTCATGTTGTAAGCCTCGTTCAGTTGCATATGTGTCAATCCATTTCCCCAATTCTAGGGCACCAATTGAGGCGCATGCAGACAGCACTCCCACCAACGTGATTTTATCAGGATTGACACCTGCCTCTTTCATACCATCAAAGAGCACCATTGCCTCATCAGACATTCCATTTTGTGCATACCTGTCATGTATGAAAATGATGATTTACAAATATATATTGATGGTATACTGCTGATTGTCGAATTGGACATACTTATTGAAGTCATCCCATTAGAATCTGATAACCATAGGTTTTTACCAGATTCCTCTTCCAGGGACATATTGAAGGGGCTTGAGGGTCAATAACAGTCAGAAAATATTTAATAGATGCGTAAGAAAACTTCTGTAAGCAATAAAAAGTACAAAGTAGTGCAAAGTGTGAACGTATGGGAGTACCAAGTTGAACACCATCATAAATATATTGCTCTTTCTTATGTGCTTATTGTTAAACCAAACAGCAGGCAAATGAAAATAGTTTTCATAAAGCAACCCAGCCACCTCCTAAAAAATTGCACTCCCATGGAAGAAAATGTTCAGTTCAACCAAAGGGAACCTCTCACATAGATATTTTTCCATAGAGAAGTAGGTGCAACTGTGCCCAAAACAATTTACCAGACTTTGTTTTGGGTAATTAGAAACTAATCTAGTATAATGTTGTAATAGGCACACTTTGCTACAACCAAATGTAGCTACTAGTTCATTTATGTCAAAGAAATTACCCTTCCGTTTTTGTTATTTTAATAATCTGAAGAGATTTTCAAAATACAAAGATTTGAGCGCAATACTTATGTTTCATGATCTACTAAATGTGAGATATAATCTAACCCAAGGTGCAAGGCATCTATGTGAAAAAGCGCTCAAAAGCTTCATTTTCTCATTCTCCTTCTTCATCACATCAATCCCAGTTCTGTACTTCCATTTCCTGTTAAGACAGAACATTCCTGTAACCCTAGTCTCTTTCTACCCTGGACATTGTTATAACCTTTTGCTGTTCAAATCACATTGCTATTGAATCTAAGAAGTATGTTATATTCCCATTTAATTTTTTACCATCAAAACCTAACATTCTAAGACTGATAAAAAAAAGTTATTTCCTTTGCGTTATCCTCAAATTGCATTTGCAGGCCTGCAGGGAGCAGTATAAACAAAAAACTAAAAAAAAAAAAAAAAAAAATATATATATATATAAAAACTATACTTGAGGGAGAGTTACTTGCCCTGAAATCATGGCATTCCAGGTTATCCGATCCTTTTTCTTCATGCTGTCAAAGACCCTCCTCGCTGAAGACAAATCACCACACTTTCCATACATACCAATCAACGCAGACCCCACATATGTATTCATCTCCAACTTATTCTCAATTACAAAACCCTCCACCCACTTACCCAAACTCAAATCACCCAGGTCCCCGCACGCCCCAAGAACTGTTACCAAGGTCCTTTCGTCTGGCTCAAACCCATCAGTCCTCATTTCGCAAAACAACCGCACAGCTTCCCCAGCACAGCCCATCTTGCAATACCCAGAAATCATTGAATTCCACGAAACCAAGTCCCTCTCAGAAATTTCGTCAAACACTTTCCGTGCGAAACCCAACTCACCACACCTTGCATACATAGTAATCAACGAGTGACTCACATGTCCATCCTTATCCAACCCAGTCCTAAACACCGACGAATGCGCTGCACGCCCATGATTCAACTCCAACAAGTTCGCACACGCGATGAACACAAACGGGTAAGTAAAATTATTGGGCATCAAATACAAAGACTTCATTTGGTAATAGAATTCAATAGTAAGCTGATATTTCTGCCATGTGGTGGTCAGGCCGCGGATCATGACGTTGAAGGCGTAGTCGTTGGGTTCGGGGATGTGGGAGAAGAGGAGGGAGGCATAAGTGAAGTCTTTGAGGTCAATGATTCTGGGGAGGAGGAAGTTGGGTTTGTCGACGGAGTTTATGAGCATTTGGGTGTGGATTTGCTTCAACTGTTTGGTGGAGGCACATTGTTTCAAGAGGTGTAAGAGATTTTCGAAGAGAAGGGGGGATTGGTTTGGGTTGGGGGGATTGAGTCGTGTTGGGGTTTTTGAAAAGGGGTTTCGGCGGGTAATGAGGCGTGGAGGGACTTTGGCTCCGAGCATTGTTTTGTGCCGTTCAAATGTGCTCTAAATCCAATTGTTTAAGTACCACTTTCTATTCTTTGCTTTGTGGCGGTTGTTGCTATTTGTTAGCTTATAAATCTTGCACTTTGACAGTTTACATTGTTTTAGGGTTTTGTTTAGATATTTTTCAATCATTTGAAATAGGTTTTTATCACAAATAATATTTGAAATTGATCCAACCCATCGAGATGGTCCTTCAAAATTGAAAATTGATCAATGTAGTCCTTGAAAATGAATGTCACAAATCAATGTGGTTCCTCCGTCACAATTCTGTCAAAACTTCTGTTAAGTGCTGATGTGTCACATACTTGGGTCCTACAAGTTTAATTAAATACTAGCCTTTCTGCATGCACTAACGTGCATGCGAGAGACATTTTTGTATTACGGGCGCTATGCGTCCCAAAGATGTGTTATTTTAAATATTCTTATATTCCTTAAGTGATTATTTTATAAACTGTGGAAACAGAAGTGAATTCTAACAAAGTACGAATATTAACGTCAAGGAATTTCATTAAACAAACGGAGATTACAAAAGAGTGTTTAAACTCTCACAACTCAAATCTCGCAAATTGACTCTCACCAAATTGCCACACAAAATACACTAACCCTAAGGTCCTATTTATAGTGCATAAGACTCAAGTTACAATAAAAATCCTAATACAAAGTAACTACAAATCCTAATCAAATAGGTAATTAACAAAATCTCTCCACCAAGGAAAACAACTAAGAAGTCAAAATCCAAACTCAAATAGGACACCAAAACCAAATAGGTAACATAAACCTAATTCTTTGCATCATCCTAATTTTGAGCCGTAAAACCCAACAAATAATTGATAAATCAAATCTGCAACTGATGTGACATCCCGTCCCGGGATTATTAAAACGTACGTGTGAAATTACATTATTGCCCCTAGTTCGTTTTTATCACGTTTTTGGTTGTTTGTGTGGTGTGTCATGTGTTGGACCACACACACACACACACACTGTCACACTCTCCCTCTTCCTCTGTCCCTGTCCCGTGTCTCTCTCTCTCCCTTTCTTCCTCTTCTTCCTTCGACGTACGGACAAACATCAAAACCACCCAAATCATCACAGATCGAGGAAACCAAGGACACATATGAGCTCGTGAGGTCGAGGCAAGCTCAGCCATACCCTTTTCAGGTGAGAAACACATCGTTTTCACGTTGTTTCGACGATGGCCGATTTGAGTACTGTTCATGCAATAGTTATACGTTGAGTTTTTGGGATTTCTGAGCTTGTAGTTGTGTTTGTGAGGTTCCCAGGAGCTTGGGAGTGGCTCGTTGGTTGAATTTGGACGTCAGGATCGTTGGTTGTGGAGTTGGCCGGTTTTGGAGAGCTTGCACAGGTATAATCTAGTGAGTTTTAGACCTTAAAACGTGTATAGTTGTGTTCTACTAGTTTAGGGCTTTAATTTGGTGCAAGAAACATGGAAAAAGGTGGAAAAACGAGCGAGTTATGGCGATTTGCAGGTTTTCCGGCGACGGTGCCGGCGACGGCGACGGCGCCGGCGTCGGGGACTGGCCGGAGAAGAAGCAGGAATATTCCGTTAAGTTTAACGGAATATTCCTAACGGCAGGGGTTAAGTTTAACGGAATATTCCGTCAGTTTAACGGAATATTCCTGACGGCGTCTGTTGACACCGTCAGTGTGCCTGGCACGTGGCCGCGCGTGGGGGCGCGTGGGTCCGTGCCTGTCCTGGAGCGTGGGGGCGCGTGCGGGGTCCAAAAATTATTTTAAAAATATGGTTGTGATCCTGAGGTTGTGTAGAGCACGTTGGTATATTCATTTGTTCACTTTGAGCAATGTATGAGAAGTTATTACGAGAAGTTGGTTATGTGCTTTAAAGTTGACGTTTTTATAGTTATTTCGCATATAGGTGACACGTACCCCGAGGATGAGCGTGGTCATGCGAGGCAGGGGGGCTACGACCCTACCACGTATCAGTGAGTGGGCTTTTGTTTTCCGTATATACCTATATACATTTAAATTCCCAGAATTAGATTAAAAAGGGTTAATTACATTATGCCATGCACTTTATTATTATCGTTTACGTATCATTGCATGCATTGTTAGTGGCATACATATACATATGCATATTGGGTGCTGTGGACGCACAGGTGAGTGCCAGGTAAGTGACATTCACGTTTATGTTTCAGTAGTGGTTTGAGACGCCTAGAGAGCTCATAACCTGCACCCCCGGTGTTAGTGCTCCCGCCCAGAGTAGGGCACAGTCCTTCACGTGATGTTCACCTCCCGCACCACACGCTCAGCTTGGATTCAAGTTAGGTGCATAGGCCTGTCGTACAGACCACATTAGGTGGTTCCGACTCGTAGGTGACTCGCGATTATTCGCACAGTCTTCACGTGATCGTAGCACTAGAGCGTATATATATATTACACCCAGGCCTGTCGTACAGACCACATTGAGTGGTTCCGACTCGTGGGCAGGTTCAGTTATTGAGATTGAGATTTGAGCTCTATATGCAGCCGTACAGGTCACGTTAGGTGACTCCGGCTGCCAGATGTTATGATGTTGATATGATTGATACCTGGGTACTTACATTCATTATGAGTTTCCGACATGGCATATTCTTGAGCATGAATGATGTACCCTTGAGCATGTTTGGCATATTTATACATACGTTTATATGTTTATTTTTCTGGGAAGTGTACAGGTTTTACGGCGAGGGGTTAGAATGTATTTTGCTAAATGGTTTTCAAAGAGAATTGTTTTTGCCCACTCACGCTTTTGTTTTGCGCCCTTCCAGGTTCTAGTTGCTTAGCCGTTGCGGTGGTTTCCCTTGAGGGCTTTCCGGCGTTCTGACAGACACTCCACATTGTAGGATCTCCTTCGGGCGTACTACTGTTGTCGTTTTTGTTTGGGCTGCTTTAGACCTGCTCTGAAATTGTATCTCACATACTAGCACTTATTTTAGTACTTTGTATGCTAGATTTTAATTATTCGAACTTTTATATTACTACTTTATTAGCTTCCGCACGTGCACATGGCTACGTCACCTTTGTGTGACGGCCAGCACGCTCCGAACTCGGTCGGGGTGTGTCAACTGAAGGGTTGACAATGGCTTCAACCCTGATGCTTTGAGACAACTTACACCAACCCTTGAATTTCTTCCTCAATTAGCTAGCTCTTGAATGCACCAATGACATATGCAACTGGGACTTGGATTACATAGCTCTCAATTCCATTGACTTCGTCTATTAATTTTTAGAGGGTTACCTGTAGTTTTTTCAATGACAATGACATGGTTTGCGCATGAACATGGTTTTTTCTTAATTGTTTATCTATTTCTTTGTTTAATCTACACTTGAATCAATAAAATATTGTCATTGCAATCATATGACATTCACAACGATCATACTATTGATTTGTAATTTCTCTGATAATTACATATCCGATCAAGCAGTCTAATTGTCAAGCGTAATTAAAAAAGTAGCAACAGCCCTAATAAAAAAAATAATTCAGACTCATCAAACTATCTAGTTACATACCTTGCATAGCAATCTAGCGTAAAATTTACCTTTCTAGCAATAACGAAATAACTCAGTTATCAAATGTAGGACACACTAAAATGCATCTAATAACTTATCATAAAGGGTGAAGTAGCAACCTAATCAAACAGAATGATAGGTAAAACTCGGGATTGAAGAATCTTTGATTACTTTGAATACTTGGTGAAGTTCCTCCTCCTGAACCCCATGAAGAAAAACGACAGGCTGCAAGATAAGATTCAAAACATATTAAATAAAAAACCAGTAAAAAATTCCCAACCCAACACTGTTATTATGGTAATTTCTACGCAAGCCGCCTTCTCTAGCAGAGTTCATTTCCAAATCCCTACTACTTTGAGAGGATTTAAAAATTTCAGAATCTCTAATAACTGGAGAATTACGCTATATAGTGAATAAGCTTGAAGAAAAGCTTCAAATTTGTATATAAAAAACTTTGAATTCGAACAAAAAATGCAAAAACTAAGTCGTTTATTAAGAAGAAGAATCGCAACTCACATGTCCGTGGGGATTTCCAGACAGGTCCTAATAGATTGTGTGGATATCCAAAACCTTAAGAAACCAGAAACTATATGGCTCAATAGTCGAGTACAGGCTATGGTTCACCCTAGAAAATCTTTCTCCAATTCTATTGAATCGCTAGATAGTTTTGGCTTGCTCTCGAAGCCCACACTTTGTCCGCACAAAACTAAATTCCAAAATTCCTCTTCCATGCATTCAGAAACACATCGTCAATTAATTAGAATTGAATATGAACGCAAATCTAATTCTGCTTCATCAAAGCAAATAATTCATATACAATTGAAAAAGATGTATAAATGGGAAGAGAACGGAAATTGAAAATTATTTTCAGAAAATATGATCAGAAATGAATGATCGATGAGAAACAGTTAATTAATGGCAATGAATTTGATTTGAAAATAGACTAATAAACACATACTGCTAAAGAAGCTGCACTTGTCGTTTATGGTGAGTGAAAGGCTGTTTTAAGAAGCTGCAATTGTTGATCATGGCGAGTAGAGTCAAGTTTGAAAGTTTGAACAAATGCTGGAAGGAATACATAGAACATTGAGAATCAAGTTTGAAAGTTACATGCAATAAGAATCAGTCGATGTAAAGGAAGAGTCTTTGTCAATCTGTATCTTTGTTTCTCCCTCCCCTCTTCTCTGTAGAGGAAGAGTCTTTGTCAATCTGGGTGGTAGTTTGCAGAACGTGGAGGGTGATTGAATCCCACGTCGCGGTTTTAATTCTTCATTCGGCAAAACTCTACGGTTGTGATGCTTTATCTTTTTTCAGTGATGGATTTTTACCAGTTTGTCGTATTAGTTTAGCCATCGAAATTCAATTCACACATTACCCATATTTTCAATGTACAATCTGCTCACAAATCATTACCAACTACAGTAAAACAGAAACTGGTAATTGGGTAATTTTAGTAACTCCAATAAATTCTGACCAATTGCAGAAGTACTTTTAAGAGAAACCAAATTCCTAGCTAAAGCCTCAAATGTCTCTCATTGCATGCAGCTGACTACCACTGACTAAAATCACATAAATAAAAGAAATGGAATCCAGAAAAACCCATATGGCAAATTGCAAATCGCAGAAATTAATGAAGTAATCAAGAAAAAGTGTTCATGCAAATTTGCAATCTCCAAACAATTACGTTTAAATAATTACGTTTAAATAATATAAGCGGTGTGGTCGACTAAGTACTAATCACTGAGCAATTTTGAACGCCCAGCAATCCCATCCTACGCCATCAATGATTCGAATTTCCTTATTAAATTATATAGAATAATAAACAAAACAAATGAAAAATCAGATTCATGTGGGTAATATTACTTAATCGGAGGGTAGAAATTATGAAAAAAAAAAATCACCTGAATTTGTGTAAATTGAGTGTGGATGCAGAAGAAACTCTGGAAAAACAGGCAGATGACAGGTCTGTGCAGAAGATGAAAGAGAGTTATTTTGGTTTTGGTGGAAAGATAGAATGTGATGCAGTATTTGTGGGAGGATTGATCTAAGGGTCACAATGAATTTTAAGTGTGTATATTTTTATCTGGTGATTGAAAATTGTCATTGTTCAAATGAGTACATATTTTATTCACACAGTATAATTTCGTTGTATTATACATTCTTTCTATATATATATATATATATAAAGGCACAATTGGAACTCCCTTAAACCTAGCGAACTCTAGCAGTTCCAGAGTTTGCACGATGGAAACTACCCATCTAGCACTAGCGGTTGCAGCGTTGCACTTTGGAAACTGCACCCTACTACCACACGTTCAAAAGGCTTCAACAGGTTACTTAGTCCCACTGTTCATACAAAAGGGAGAAACAAACTCAACTGCGCAAACCTCTCTATCAAATCAACTTTTTTTTTGTTTTTTTTGGCCTTCTTCTTCATCCACCTTTCAATTTGGTGCTTTTGGGGAAACGATGAATTAGGGTCAACAAAATACTACAATTTGCAGGTCTGGCCACCAAATCCCCTATTTTATGTGATTTAAGATATTGGATGTTATCATCTTCTCCCGGTACCCAACTTCCGAATTTAAAAAACCTTTTGGTTTTTTTTTTATTTTTTTATTTTTTATTTTTGTTTCTGTCGTTAATTTGGGAATGGTGACTATCTTACGCAATGGCTGATATGATGATAGAGCTAGGGAAAATCCCCAAGTCCAGTTTTCACTCTTTTCATTTTCTTTGTTCCTTGCAGATTTGTGAAAAGGATTGAGACTACAAAGTGGAAGCTCTAAAAAATACCGTTATGAAATTGGAGCTCTCTTGCCAATAATTAGAGAGGGTATTGATGTCTTCATCTTCCATTTTTACCATCATCAATTCAATCAAAACCTATGCCATGCTTAATTATCAATAGAAAAGTGGCAGGAGATCATACTTTTAGGGGAAAAAATGCCGTATTGTGTGCTCTTGTGCCAAAACTTGATATTTTGTTTAAATTTACAAACTTTGAGCAGATTTTGGAAAAGGGTTCTGTAAATAATATGTTTTTATCTAATGTGATTGTGTGTTGTAGATTTTGGAGTTTGTACGAAATGGCGATAAATCTTTGGCGGAATTGATGGACATTACGAAACAACTACTAGGAAAGTAGTGGTGTGAACTGTGAAGGATTTTGGTAATCGGTTTTGAAAAGGAAACATTTATATCTAATGTATTTTCCGTTCCTTTATACATGAGGATTCTTATATTAATTTTTGAATGTTAGCGACAGTTCCTCTTAAAGCTGATGAGGAACTTGGTGGCACATAATTGCCAGGTAAACTAAACTTGGTGGCATCTGTCACTCTGTGTTTCATTCAACTTGGACTTGAGTTTCCAAGCTTGCATGTTTCCATATTAGTTGTGCTACTACTTTGCCTTTTCTGTGCTTATTTATTCAGGCAATTTGGTTTTTACAAAGTGCAGGTGCTCCAAATTTTATATAGCTCTCATGAATTTGGGATATTTCAGGGAATTCATAAGATGACCAACAATTTCAGGGAATTCATAAGATGACCAACAATATTACTTTTTCACAGCAAGTGTTTCTTATCATCTATTACTTTTTATGGTTATCTTTTCCAGTCCTAGATTTATGAACTTAATGACTTAATTTGTCGTTAAACCATAGAAATATGCATAACTGGTATTACCATAACTAAAGTTCCACGTGAAACAACACCATCTTCTCATCTATCAATTATGTCAGCATCATCAAATCTTTCATCACCGTGTCCCCCATAAGTCTGGCTTCCCTTTCTCTATTGTAGATTGAATGCATTTTTGGCTTAAAGTATGGCAGCACAACCTGATACATATTGGTTCATAAATCATCAGTTATGAGAGAAAAGAAACCGACATAGCACTATGTTGAAAAAAATTGGATGATTTTGGATGAATGAAGTTTGAAATGGTTTAGGATATAGAGGTAGGGAAAATCCCCAAGTCCAGTTCTGATTTTTCGCTCTTTTCATTTTCTTTGTTCCTTGCAGATTCGTGAACAGGATTGAGACTACAAAGTGGAAGCCCTGAAATATTCCGTTTCGAGCAGGTATTGATGTCTTCATTTTCCATTACCAAATTGGATGTGTGTTTTCTCTTGATTTCAGTTCTTGGTTCTATCCATTTTGCACTCCTATTAATTCCGAATTCATTTGCATACAGACTGACATAAAAAACATAGAGAGAGACAATTATGGAGTGCATGCTGTGTTGGGGTTTAAAAATGCTTCACTACTCTAGAGATGTTTATCTCACAAAGAAGAATGTAACGCATCGGAATTGATAGGCAAGAGAAAGAAAGAATTCTCAAAGTATTACACAAGGTTTTATTCACTCACAAACTTAGTACAAGAGGAAACACTCAAACACTCTTAGAAGCTTTGTTGCTTCTTTTTACTTCTTACTTGACACTCTCACTTCTTACTACTTGCTCTCTTGGTTGTTACAAATGGTGTGGATGCCTTCTCCTTTTATAGGCATGGATGGAACCTTGGAGAAGCATGGAAACATTATGCTAGAGATATCTAGATAATTCCACTACCTTCTAAGCTAGATTTATCTACACTAATCTTGTATGTTGGTGGAATTCACTATTCTTCTAGACTCTTCCACCAACTTGAACTTTGCTAGAATTCTCTAGCATGTGCATGGATCTTTCTTTTTGTATGGGCCGGATCAATTACCTTTGGGCCAAGACAAGATTACAATTCAACATCCCCCCTTAATCTTGTCTTGTGACGCCAATTGAGTTTCTTAGTCTGACAAAGTCTTCTTGTTTGAGTGGCTTGGTGAATATGTCAGCGACTTGGTCTTGAAACTTCACGTATTCTACTTGCACATCCTTTCTTGCAATGCACTTTCTTAAGAAATGATAACGGGTATCTACGTGTTTGCTCTTGTCATGGAATACTGGATTCTTTGCTAGGGCTATTGCAGATTTGTTGTCGACATAGATCTTTGTTGGCTTTTCTTGTCGCATTCTTAATTCTTTCAGCAAGTTTCTCAGCCAGATTGCATGGCAGACACATGAAGTAGCAGCTACGTATTCAGCTTCGCAGGTAGAGAGAGTGACAATCGGTTGCTTCTTCAACATCCATGTGAATGCAGTGTCTCCCATGAAGAACACAAATCCAGTAATGCTTTTTCTATTGTCGGAATCTCCTGCCCAATCACTGTCGCTATATCCAGCAAGTTTGTAGTTATCAGAACTTGAATAAAACAAGCCAAAGTTAACAGTAGGTATCGAAGAATTCTTTTGGCCATTTTCAAATGTGTAGTTGTGGGATTCTCCATGTGGCGATTGATTAATCCAACAACATAGAGAATATTTGGTCTTGTGCAAGTCAAGTAGCGTAAGCTTCCAACTAGACTTTTGAAAAATGTTGGATCTACGCTTTCTCCTTTGTCATACTTGGTTAGTTTGACTCCGCACTCCATTGGCGTGCTCACGGGCTTGCAGTCGTCCATTTTGAACTTTTTCAGTATCTCCTTTGTGTAGCTTTCTTGGGAGATGAAAATTCCTTCTTTGTTGTACTTGACTTCAATGCCTAGGTAATATTCCATCAACCCAATGTCGGTCATCTCAAATTCTTTGGTCATCACTCTCTTGAACTCTTCAAACATGCTTGGATTACTCCTAGTGAAGATTAGATCATCCACATATAAGCACACAATCAAAATATCTCCATCTTTGACTTTAATGTAGAGAGCATGCTCATGAGGGCACTTAATGAAGTTGTTTTCTTGAAAGTACTTGTCGATGCGACTATTCCATGCTCATGGCGCTTGTTTTAACCCATAGAAGGCTTTCTTCAGCTTCAGAACTTTGTCTTCATGCCCTTTGATCTCATAGCCTGACGGTTGCTGAATGTAGACTTCTTCTTCAAGGACTCCATTTAGGAAGACGGACTTCATATCCATTTGTTGAATCTTCCAACTGTTTTGAGCTGCCAAAGAAATTAGTAATCGTATAGTTTCCAACCGAGCAACGGGTGCAAATACCTCATCATATTCGATTTTGACTATAGCCTTTCGCCACTAGTCTTGCCTTGTATCTTTCGACCTCTCCATTGGCATTTTTCTTTGTCTTGTACACCCACTTGACTCTGATGGCTTTGTGTCATTTCGAAAGAATAGCGAGTTCCCATGTATCATTCTTCTGGATTGCTTCAATTTCTTCATCCATTGTTTTCCTCCACTTAGTATCTTGCACTGCTTCTTGGAAGTTGACTGGTTCACAATCAGCAAAGAGATAGAAAAGTGTAGGATTATCAAGTACTTTAGCTACCTCATAAAGATTTCGTATACTTCTTGTGCGTGGTACTTCTCTTTCATTTAGACTCCCACTTGACAATGCTGATGCTGATGAATTACCATGATTGGTTGATGTTGGTGAAGCAGGTGGAGTAGTGGATTCTTGTTGAACCTCTCTTGCTTGCTCCATCATCCCTTGTTCATTCTCTTCTTCAAATTGAGGAAATAAGTGAAGATCACCTGCATACGGGCCAAAATCCCATTCTCCTTCTTCATCGAACGTCACGTCTCGACTGATCACCGTCTTCTTATTGTTTAGATTATACAACTTATAGCCTTTTGAATTTGTGTCATAGCCGATGAAGATGAACTTCTCAATTTTGTCGT